AGAGAGAGAGAGAGAGAGAGAGAGAGAGAGAGAGAGGTGTTTGTGTGTGTTTATATGTGTGACTTTGTGTGTTTGTATGTATGTGTGCGTGTGTGTGTGGTGCAGGGGGTGGGACTAGGGTAGAGGGGACATTGACAGGCAGGACATGTTCTGAGAAGGAGGCAGAGTCCAGACCATGGTCAGCTCTTCTGTGTCTCTTGGGTAAGGGCACAGACCCTGAGCCCCTAGGCTGCAGAGTAATTGGATTGAGAAGGATCGCTACCATCATCATCATCATCATCACCACCACCACCACCATCACCATCACCACCATCACCATCATCATATTGTGCCCTAGGCCCTGAGCTCTTAAGGGCAAAATCCCCATCTCAGTCACCTCCTGTCCCCTACCTACACCCAGCCCCGCGCTAGTACGTGCAGAAGACAGAGAGAAGCTAGAGAAAGACAGGCATCTCCTCAAGCAGCGCTTCCCTGGCAGTGGCCGGGGCCGGAGCCCTGACACCGGACTGCCGCCCTCCCTGTACTGCCTGTGCGTCTTCTGGCGAATCACTCCCCCTCGATGACGCCTGTGACACATCATGAAGGGTGCCCATCTCACAGGGCTGTGGGGAGACGGGTCTGTGGTCCCAATACTCGTAAAGTAGGACCTCACTGGACGTCACACCAGTAATCCTGGGATCGGGAAGGGTCACGCAGGGTTCAGACTGTTTGGTGCTCCCGTGCTGGACTCGGCACTGCTCCCAGGGTGCTCCCTGCTGGCCCTCGTGCTGAGCCCGTGACCTGAAATTCCCACCCCGAACCCCCACATCCCTTCTCGTTCCTGGTTATTGACTATGGTGCTCGTACCTTCCCGGGCAGCGTTACTTACTCCTCTCTTGGGCCTCCAAGGGTTGTTTGGGCGTTTCTTTTCACTTTTTCCATATCGTATGATCGTTGAGACTTTCACTACTACAATATGGCCATGGCTGGTTTGCCCATTCTCGTGCCTGTGGCTCCCAGCATGCAATCCTTCCTTCATCCCATAAATATGGATCTCCTAAACCATCCGGACTGGGGTTTGCCTAATAGGCGTGCTCGGTAAGCAAGGAAGCGAGTCGGTGAAGGAGTGAAGCAGCAGTGTTGGTCCAGGGTTGTCCGAGCTGGTTACACCAGGGTCTTCCCTTAAGCCAGGCAGGAGCTTGTAGGCAGCACCCATCATTTATGAAAGAAGGTGCCAGGGCGCCCAACCCTCTGAGCTCTCGTCTCAGGGAAGGTGACGGTGGTGATGCGCCTCTTTGCTGTCACCCTCAGTGGTGGGCACTTAAGGCGCATTCGTGACTGTGGCTGCTGTCACAGACTCTGGCATTGGGTGGCTTAAACAATGGATATTTTTTTTCTCACATCCTGGAGGCTGGAAGTTCAAGACCAAGATGTCAGCAGGGTTGGTTCCTCTGCGAGCACTGAGGGAGAATCTATTCCAGCGTGTGGTGGCTTGTGGTAACTTTGGGGGCTCCTTGGCTTGCAGAGGCATCACCCCCTCTCTTCATCTTCACCTGGTCTTCTCCCTGTGGGTGTGTCTGCGTCCCAACTCCCCTTTCTGTAAGGACGCGGTCACAATGGGTCAGGGCCCACCCTACTCCACTGTGACCTCATAACTAATTCCATCTGCACAGACCCTGTTTCCACGTAAGTCACCTTCGCAGGCCTCCAGCATCTTTGGGACGACACCGTTCAGCCCCTGACGACATGTTCCCTTTGTGTCCCTGGAGCCTCACAACTGCCCTGCAGGGTAAACAGTGGCTCTGGTGTCCATTGTGGAGACCGGTTCACCCAGAGTCACAAAGCTAGTGGCGCAGCTGGCATGTGGACACAAGCCCTTCTAACTCTCAAGCTCCTGCTCCTTCTGGAAGTTTCTCAAGGGAGCCCTCTTGGCCTTTTTTTTTGTAGCAGGACATTTCTTCCTTGTGCAGGGCTGTCCTATGCACCACCCAGACTCAACATCCCCTGTCTGAACACTAAGTGGCAGGGGACACTGTCTCTGGTCACCTACAGGTCCCCGGGGAGGTGACTCTCGGTGCTCACCTGCTGGCAGGCAGGGGTCCTCAGGTCTTCCTTGGATGCCGGGAGCTTGCCTTGGTGTCTGTGTCGTTGGACACAGAGGCCGACAGGAATTGGCATGTTACCTGTGGCCTCACGTTGTCCTGTCTTTTAGAGCTCGTTTGTCTCGCCCGTGTTTCCAGGTATTCTCAGCCAGCCAAGGATGGGCCGGGTGTGGCTGTGACACTGACTTGAACAAGCGGCCTGTGCATGGTACCCTGGAATTCGGCCTTGACATTGGAGAGGGACAGAGCTCAGGCTCCCAGGGTGAGGGGTCAGGTTTCCCTGGCAGTGGGACTCCTGGCCCAGCTGCCTGTGAACCAGCCTCATTGTTAAGAGTCACAGGGTCATCCTACCTCACAGGGAGGAACCTGCCTGAGTGGGAGGGTCCTTGGAGGCCGTTTTTTGCCCCCCTGGGCCTGCAGGCTCTGCCAGTAGGAAATTGGCTCCGGCCCCATTGACTTCTGAAAGCTTTTAGGGACATAAAGCAAACCCCTGAGCCCCTGCTGAGGGCTCATCAGTAGGAGATGATTTAGATTCAACCAAAAAGCCAGCATTGTGTGTTTTCCTGGCGCACTGGGGAGTGTCACAGAGGGACCTGGAAACGTGACCAAGTCGGGCCATTCCAGTTCTTAGTGGCGCTGTTACGTTTTGAAAAGTGTTCATGGTCGGTTTGTAAGCACCACTAACACTACTCAAGTTTTTAAACAAATTAGCTCTTGTGGTGAATATGTGACTTTTCCACAACTGTCTTCCTTTATGGTTTGGGGGTGGTGGTGTCCGTGTGTGAAGCTGTCGTGTTCAGAGTCGGCGTGGGTGGTATCCAGACGCCCGTGCCCTGGACCTCCCCTCCCGTGAGGTGACCCACCTGCGTGTGAAATGTCAAAGAGCAATCAAAGTAAAAATTAAGTCACCCTGTAATGTGCTTGAGCCGTGGTTCTCAAAGTGTGTTCCCCGGACCAGTAGCCCAGCATCACCTTGGAACTGGTGAGAAATGCAGTTGCTGGGACCCCACCCAGACCTCCTGAGTCAGACACTGTGCTGGGTGGGCGAGGGGTCGACTGTCTGCGTTCTAACAAGCACTGGAGTTGAGGAAGCTCCGTACTAGAGAGGGACGTGCCCAAGGAACAGGTGGTCGTTGATGACCAGAGATTTGAGTCGTGGCGCGAGGCAGGCCACAGGAACCAGTGGCTGAGTGTCGCCTTTCTCATTTCCTGTTTACCGAAGGTCTCCATCTAAGCGGCAAGAAGGTCTGATTCTTCATCCTGAAAAGCTGTGGGGTTCAGGATGGAACCGCCTCTGCCATCCCTGGTCATGTGCCCAGGTGGGCTGCTCCGGTGGCGTCTGGGTTGCTAACCAGCTGTGTGTCCTTCCCTGCAGAAGTGCATCCGATTCAACCCGGACGCCACGGTGTGGGTGGCGAAGCAGCGGGTTCTGTGTTCGTTGAACCAGAGCCTGAAGGACGTCCTGAATTACGGCTTGTTCCAGCCGGCGAGCAACGGGCGCGACGGCAAATTCCTGGACGAGGAACGGCTCCTGCGCGAGTACCCGCAGCCCGTGGGCAAGGGCGTCCCCTCGCTGGAGGTACTGGGCTCAGCTGGAGGGGGACCCGCACCCAAGCCCAGATGCGATCTGATTCACAAATGCCCCCAAATTAAATCATCAGTGTGGGGGCTTGAGGCTGCACCTACATTTGCTGTGAATTGCCGGTGGCTGTGCAGTTTTTATCTGTTTGTTTTCTGGCTCTCGATTTGACAAGCTTCTTGGGGAGTGGTCTTGGTATGAGCAAGCCACGAGTCCCACTCAAACTCGTGTCACCAGGACCTGAGCCCTGGAGGTGCAGAACGGGCTTGCTTCTGCCTACCGAGCCAGCCTCCCTGCCCTTGGGCACAGCGTGGCCAGTGGCCATCCCGCTGGTACCAGAAGCACCACGTCCTTTCTGGTTCTTGTCTCTGGAGTGACCAGTGGGCTCTCAGAGCTGCGAGAGCCAGCCATGTGGTCTCGGGCCTCCCCGGTGACGTGGTAGATGCAGAAGGTGGGCAGCCCTACCCACGTTCATGTGAAGCGTGACCTCCAGGTCCTGCCTTCCTGCCCTCTGGTGGGCTGCACCCCAAGTTTACATGTAGTGTTTCCATGTGATGTGTTAAGATAGTGACACGAGTAGCCAGGGGATGGTCATTTGTCTCGCACATGTCACCAGTATTAAGGGATCGCTTTCATTTCAGCTTGGTCACACAGAAGACAGAAGTGTGGCTCGTAGCTGGCGTGCTATGTGGTGTCGAAGTGGGTTCTATGATATTCTCAGTGACTGGAAGTGACTCTGTCGTCAGACATGGCATGGACACGAATTCAGAGCCAAGGCCATGCCTCACCTGTACATTTCTGGGTCTGATGATGACCTTGTAGCGGAGATTATTGGGATCCCCACTTTGGTGGGACATGTGTGGGTCCAGGGAGAGGGTGTCAGTGGAGAGAAGACGGTTGCCACTTGGGAGTTATGTGGTGCAGCTGCTCTGACCTCAGCTTGCTCGTGTGTGAAATGGGCATTCATCGAAAAGCCACTTGCTGAGGACCTACTAAGCAAGCAGCAGGCGCTTTGTAGACATGTGCAGCATGCACAAGACAGCAAAGGGTCTGGCCAGTGCAGCTTACACTCCAGTGGGAGGTGATGGACCAGGACCAATAAAGAAACATTCATTTTGGGGGCTGGTAATTTATATGATGACAGTGACACAGGGTGAGAAGAGCAGGAGGGCCCGGAACCTACTCTTGACCAGAAAGCCTCAGAGGAAGCAGCGTGCCCTCCCTGACTTGAGGCCCCTTACCCCGCCCCCATCTCCCTGAGAAGGGAACAGAAGGCGTGGGACCTGGGCGGGACGGTGAGCGGCGGGCACATGTGTCCTCCCTCCGGTGGACGAAAAACATCCAGCCTAAGAGAAAACTTATAAGAGTTTATTTGAACCAAACTGTCGACAATTGCCGGGAAGCAAGAGCTCAACGGATTGAGAAAATGCTTCGCAAAACGGCAGTTTGCAGTTTATTTTATACATGAAATCAAAGGAGGAAGGTTGCATGAGATTCATGGGTGATAGATGAAGGGGGTGGGAGAAAGCAAAGCAGGGAACTCTCTGGGATTGGATAAAAGCACACTGGAGAGACAGGTACTCCTCCCACACAGGTGGGTGCAGGATAGCTAACAGTTCGCTCTTTACAGCACATCGAGATGGTAATCCGGAGACAAGCATGGGATTTTGCAGTTTCCAGCTCTGGTCTGGAAAAAGGAGGAAAGATGTTATCTTAGGTACAGAAAGACAAAGAACAGGCCCACTGAAAAGGCGCAGGTTCACTTAATGAGGAAGCCCGAGATGTGACTTCCCGCCATGGCCCACCTTAATTAGGAATTTTTATGTTCACACCATCCTCTGTGGTTATTTTCAGTCTCCTGAGCTTGTCAGGTTTCACATGTGGCCCCTTTTCCGTCCACACTCCCATGTCCTGTCCAGGCCCTTGTGGGAGCCCAGCCAGGGTGGGGGGAGTTTGCACGTGAGTGTCCTGCCCCAAAGTGTTCACCACTCCATGTGGGCACGTGGACTCGGTTTCCATCGGACTTGGTCCACTCTTGGCAGCTGTGCAGCCTGGAGCACCCCACCCAGTCTCTCTGAGCCTCAGATACCCGGCTGTGCGGTCGGGGGAACATTAGCGCCGCCTTCTTGGGTGGCTGTGAGGCTCATGTGAGGCGTCCATGGAGCAGAGCCCTTAGCGATCGGCGAGTACCCCAAGTTGGTGCTGTGGCTGCTGCCGTCACTGGCCCTTGCTGCCATGAATAGGCTGTTCATACTTTCATTCATCCCCTTGGGCCACCGTCCTGCCAGGCACCCCACTGTGCAGAGTGGAGACGGCCCAGAGATGCACACATGAGGGGCCAGGAGTGGGTCTGGCCTCACTGCCTGGGCTGGTCTCAGTGAGCTATGGCTGGCTGCTTAGGGAACCCTGAGAACAGGGCAGGAAAGGGGCCCCTGTCTGTGAGCTCGCGCCCCTCTGTAGCCCCAGCTGTACATGTTGATAGCTCTGGAAACACTTTGTCCTCCTAAGCACGTACCCTCCTCTGAGGGGGTCCATTGGCCCCAGTATATGTTTTTATAACTGGAAAATGTACCCATCGATTTGAATCCCTTTAGACTGTTCAGGTTTGGGCACGTGACCTTGAACTGTGTTGCATCTCCTGATGTCACTGTCAGTGGCCCCTGCCACCTTGACCAGAGGCATGATGGGAGAAGGTACGCAGTGAGAGTTTCCCAGCAGCCCCAGAGCGTGGGGCTCGCTGACACTTCCCCACTCGACTCGAGACTCAGGACGGGCTGTGAGGCCCTACAAGGAGCCTGGATCCCCTCCCCACAGGTCCCTTCAGGGACACCGACATGTGCAGCCCAGGGACTGCGTGCGGCCCTGCCGTTCACGAAACGTCCCCATCTCACGGCTGAGTTATCTGGGCACTTAAATCGAGTTTCGGTCTGTGCGACAAAGGTGTTTTGTGTGTTTGTTAATTGCTGTTTTGTTTAGAGGAGAATAAGGTTGACCCTTTGGAAACTTGATATGGGATTAGACTTTCAGTTTCAGGATTAGCTCACGGGCTGCCCAGCACCTTTGCTTCACGGTTCACGAGGCGGCATCGTGAGTCACCCTGTGCTTGTCTGAGCTCCTTGGAGTGTGATGGGGTCAAGGGGGGTGGGGGGAGAAAACAGCATTTGTCCAGTGCGGGGTCTGTGCCCGGAACCTCACATTCAGTCCTCGGGCCACCCTGGGAGTCTTGTGTATCGTTATTTCCGTGGGACAGATAAGGAAACTGAGTGAGATGGGGAAAGTGTCCAGCCAAAGGTACCCCGCTGACAGGACCGTGTGGGGCTGGGGTTGGAACAGAGGGCGCAACTCAGAACTTTAGTGACTCCCAAACTGCCAGCGTCCTGCCGACACCTACTGTAGCACATGTGGTCACAAAAGGGGTCAGGGCGCCCGGGGAATGAGGCAGCCGACTGTGACACCAGTGCTTTGTTCTTGGGCAAAAGGGGCTCCTCGCTTCTTAGGATGGAATTCCCAGCTCAAAGGTGGCGTTGCTGGTCAGGGGAATGAATGGTGGCTCAAGTGCCACACGAAGGCTGCGGGCGCGGGAGGAGGTGGCCTCACCAGGGGCTCCTCATGCAGCTTTAATAAAGGCTGACGGCACAGAGGAAACACTGGTGTGCAAAGGGGCACCCTCATTTATTGGTGACACCAGTTATCAGCAGGCTGGTCCCATCACGGAGCTGAGATCACTAACGCAGAGGGAGGGGACCAGGACAGGTGGCCTGCTCCTTTGTCCCTGTGGGGAGCCCCTGTTCCCTTTCACAGCTTTTTAGCCCAGTGGCTGTAGAATCTCAGCAGAAGTCATTCTTGGGGTGTCCTGGGCTCTGCGTTCAGGTAGATACAAGCCATGTATTGAACGCTGGAAGGTTTGGGGTGGAGCCCGTGCCGCCTTGAGCCAGCCAAGGAGAAGGCCGGTTTTCCTCTGGGCAGCCCCAGGAAATACTCACCTGTTACTCTTTTTCTCCTGTTTCTGTGCCAGTTCCGATACAAGAAGCGGGTGTACAAACAGTCCAATCTGGACGAGAAGCAGCTGGCCAAGCTACACAGCAAGGTACGCGGGCGTGGCTGTCACGCGCTGTGGGCGCTCTGTCTGGCTGATCGTCTGCTGAGATCAGGGGAGCTCGCCGAGCAGAGGGCTCTTCTCCCTGGGAGGTGCTGATGGGACCCCTGGTGTGTCTGTTGTGAGAGACGGGTGGACTGGGCCGAGGACGCTGCCCGAGGCCGCCCTGCCACCCGGGAGGCAGTGAGGTTGCTTAGTGAAGCTGGTGGGGGCTCAGGCAGGGGAGCAAACCCCAGTGTCCCCGGAAGGGTCCCTGGAAGGCAGCGGCTCTGACGGGCAGCATTTGGGCACACGCCGTGGTGGGGGAAAGGGGCACACGTGAACACAGTGGGTCCTCCCCGGTGTTGCCCACATGGGTCTGACTTAACCACGGAAGTGAAACACACCGTCCCCATGATACCCGGAAGGATGTTGGCCAGAACCCACCTCCCCCCAAATACCGCAGCTGTCTCTGCCTGTAGAGTGAAAATACGTTAGATGACAAGCTGTAAGTGGAATAGTGTCACTTTGGAGAGTGGAACCCTTCTTAGCGCTCGTCTCCTGCGTGTTTCTGGGAGGCGGGGTGGCCTTGCTGAGCCATCCCTGCCGAAACAGAGGACAGCCCTGCAGCCGTAGGTGTCCAGCTGTTGTCACTCCTGAGATTAACGTGCTGTTGACAGAAACCGCACCCAGGTGAGACGTGCACATGGCAGCAGGTGACAGGGTAAGGAATGAGGCACGGGCTGCATGTGGGCACTCAGTTCCTGGCTGACGCACTGTGTGTACCTGTTCTTAGGGTGCCCAAGCCCCATGCCCATGGCATGCCAGCCCTTCCTCAAGGATGCTGTGTGTGCTCAGGGGTGCCAGCGCGTGTGGCGGGCACCTCGCTTAGTGCCTGTGTGTGATGCTGAGGACCCTCCCGGCCCCACCCCGCCCCTCCTGGGGAGCCTTTAGAGCTGCCCGCGGAGCGCAGGGGAGCCAGAGTCTGGGAGCCACCTGGGCGGCTTCCCTTAGCCGGCCCTGATGCTATCCAGGTCAGCCCACCTGTACCATGAGCTCACAGAGTGCCTTCACAGCCAACAGGGTCCTCTTGTTTTTGTTTTTTCGTCCCCTCCTTTGTGTCAGGAAGGACGCGTGGATTTTGGGTATAACGCGCCATTATCATGATTGGTTTCTGTGCTCACATTGTCCTGAGGTGGCCGGTGGCGGCCCTTCTGCCTGCTGCTCTGCCCTCTGGCGTGTCCCCAGCGTCCTTGAGCGCTGACGACTTTCTGGAAGAACAAGATGCTTGATTTCCGCCTGGACGTGCCCTGCCCAGCCCCGAATCCCCTGCACAGGGGCGTTTAGACCCCAAGGCCTGGCGCTTCTGGATTTTTTTTATTATCCTCTGATGTATAGATAAAAATGGGTTTGTGTATTTAAAAAAAACCAAACATGTCTGTTAGTAAATAGCAATGAAGGCGTTAAACGAAACCAAGTGCACCGTGTGTCTTTGACGTCTCTTAATTTCTGGTCCCAGAATGTATAGAAAACGTTTGGGTGGAAATCCAGCCTGTGTCAGCAGGCTGAATGGCCCAGGACTTCAAGGGTTGAAAGCCGCCGTTGTCCCCTCCAGAGCATTTTGGGAGACGTGTGGGGTGGGGCTGGAGACTTAAGCCAAACGGAGGCACATTCTATCAAATAGCCTGGCTGTCTGCTTGATGGACAGGAAATCATTATTTTTCTTGCAGCCGAGGCTGGGCAAAGCTGGAGACACATCCCTCCCAACAAGGTTGGCCCACTGATCATTTTGATCTCATGTGACATGAATGTCTCCCTTCACCTTGAATTACTTGGTGACCAGGTGTCCTTGTTTCTGTCCACACAGCCACAGGGTGAACCAAAAGGTGGCTTAGCCTGAGTGATCGGCTGTCCTGTTTGCTGCTACTTTAGAGCTAAGGAAACATAAGTGCGAACCCATGGGCCTCACTCACCAGAGATTGAGTCAGGTCTGGGGGAGACCCTGGAAACTGTAGCTTTCCACAGTGGTCCAGGTGGCGTAGCCTTTCGAAAGGGAGGGAATGTCCCGTGGCTCTTGGCAACGACGGTGAGCAGTGAGGATTTATATAACACAGTCGTCCAGGGCGGGCTGACTGTGTTTGTCACACGCCGGCCTCTGTGCCTGACCTGGGGTTGCAGGGGCAGGAAGCCACTGCGTGGCGAGCCTCGGGGTCGGCAGCGGGCCCCCATCTGGGAACAGCTCCCCCTCCGTAAAGGAGGCCAGAGTGCATCCTGTAAGAGACCTTCCCGTGGCCTGTAAAGACATTTCTTGTAAAGACATTCTTTGTTGTTTTTTTCTCTCTCCAGACCAACCTGAAGAAATGCATGGATTACATTCAGCATCGCTCGGTGGAGAAAATTGTGAAGATGCTGGAACGAGGACTGGACCCGAATTTCCATGACTTGGAGACTGGAGGTAGGGCTGGCCGAGAGGACCGCCCTGAGCTTGGCCCAAGGGTGGGCCCCGCCGGGATGGCTGGCTCTGTTTCTGTCACACGTGCATGTGCCACCCCAATGCTTTCCAGGGCTTTTCCAAGGCCTTTCTCACTCTTCTGTGAGCTCTGGGTGAGCCTGTGTGTGCTCCCACAGTATCTCCCGCCATCAGCATGGGCCAGGCACGTAGTAGGTGCTCAGTACGTACCTGCTGACTGAGCGAATGAATGAACCATAAATGACAACACGCGTGGAGCTGTTGCTCCTCTGCCTTGGGAGACGTGCAAAGGTCTTGTTCCCCAGCTGGAAACCAGTTTCCTCATGTCACATGTGGGGTTAAGTGGCCCCAGGGGATCCCAGCCTCGCAACCTTTGACATTTGAGCCGGACAATTCTTTTATTTATTGATTTATTTTTTAACAATTCCAAACTGGCACTCACTTTTATTTAATCTTAGCTTTTCTCTTTCTCTCAGTTTTAAATTGAGATATACTTGACTTATAGCATTGTGTGAGTTTCAGGTGTATGACATAACAACTCGATGTGAGTATATATTGTGAAATGCTCACCAGAAGAAGTCTAGTTCATCTCACATAGTTACAATTTTTTTGTCTTGTGATGAGGACTTTTAAGATCTACTGTCTTAGCAACTTTCAAATATACCATACGGTGTTGTTAACTCTAGTCACCATGCGTACGTTACATCCCCAGGACTTATGCGCCTTAGAACTAGGAGTTTGTACCTTGACCGCCTTCCGCAGTCTCCTTCCCCACCTCTGGCAACCACCAATCTGCTCTCTGTATCTGTACGCTCCGTATTTTTAGATCTCGCACAGTGTAAGTGAGATCATACAGCATTTCTCTTTTTACCTCTGATTTCCTTCACTTAGCGTGATGCCCTCAGGGTCCATCCATGTCGTCACAAATGGCAGAATTTCCTTTTTTTTTTTTAAAGATTTTTATTGGGGAATGGGGGGATGGAAAACAGTGCTGGGGAATTGGGGGAGGGGAACAGACAAGTTGCTGTCCTTTTGTTCTTCAGTCTAGTTGTGGAGGACGTTGCTTCACTGGCCCAAGTTGGCACCATCATTGCGCTCTTCCCGGGCGAGGCAGATCAGTCGCCGGCTTCTGGATGGCTGCTCACAGCGGCTGCTGGCCACTCACGCTGGCTGCTGGCTACACACGGTAGCCCATGACAACCCACTGCCACAGGGGCTGCAGCCTACGCCGTCGCCGGCGACTCACGACAGCCCAGCTCCAGGTTGAGCTGTTGTTCAGCATCTTAGCTGTGGAGGGCAGTGTCACTGGCCCTCATATGTGGGATCCGAACCGGGGCCCTCTGGCATCCCAAGCCAGTTCTTAACCATCGTGCCACTCGGCCGGCCCAGAATTTCCTTTTTTATGTCTGCTTAATAGCCTGTTATGGAACTCGACAGTTCATGGTGGGAGCTGTCCCCTGAACTGTAGAATATTACAGCTCCCCTCGCCCCACCCACAGATGCCAGTAGCATCCCCCCCACCAGTTGTGACAACCAAAAATATCTCTAGAAATTGCCCAGTGTCCCTTGGCGTGGAGGCACAGTCGCCCTGGGTGAGAACCCCATGCCAGTGGGACTCGCTGAACTGGCTGAGGTGGGCTGTGGGGGAGGGGAGGCTCAGGTGAGAGTTTCCATGGCAACTCGGAGCATTCACCTGGGCAGGGGGGTTACCCTGGGCCTGAGAGCGTTTATCTTGGACTCAGCGAGTGGGGCCTCTCTCCCCTCTCCTTGGGACGGGCGAGTCCTCCCCCGTGCCATTGTCACACAGAGGTGTCCCACCTCACAGTTAGTGAGCTGACAGCAAACGTATTCCTCAGGTAAAGAAGGGAGCATTCTCATCATTTGTGGGGGTTCCTCTGACCCCTAACGCTGGGGCAGGTCCCCCAGCTCTTCCAGCTGTGTACTTCTGGTGCACAGGTCACCGTGTTGTAATCGCCATCCACCCCTGAGTCTCCTAAATGGAACTGCGGGTAATCTGAGAGCACGGCTCTGACAGGTCGCCGGCATGGGTGGTGGGGCTCAGGCCTCTGCTGCAGGTTTGGACAGGGTGTGGGGACAGCAGCTGGGTTTGTTCTGGAAGCAGATAGAAGTGGGTGTGGCACAGGAGCGGCTCTAACCACGTGTGGGGCCTCGAATTCCTGGGCATGACCTTGAGCCTCAGCCCGACCAGGCGTCCGTGTTTCCCCGACCCGGCGTCCGTGTTTCCCCGACCCGGCTGTCTCCTCCGGCCAGCCTTCGGCGGTGGCTCCCACTGGCCTGGCCTCACCTCATCATGGCTGTTTCCTCATCCGTCACCTACTGGAGGACGTCCTGGTTGCTTCCAAGTCTTGGCAATTATAGAAAGAGCTGCTTATAAACATTTGTGTGCAGGTTATTGTGTGGACATAACTAACCGTGATCACACATAATGGATTTTTTTTCAAGGCCAACAAAAGTATTTCTAGCAAGCAAACGGGAGAAAAGGTGGAGCTGTCAGAGAAAGTTCTGGAGCAGAGGCCCCGCGAGGTGAGCCCTGCCGGGTTGCAGCCCAGGGAGGGGACCCGGCCTTGGAGAGTCCCCGGGGAGACCATCGCTATGGCTTCTGTGGGGCTTGCTGTGTGGGGCGCGGTGGAACAGATCTCCCTGAACTCTCAGCTGCTTCGCTCCACTGGTCGGTCCCTACAGGGTGGGGACATGAGAGCATCACATGAGGGTCTCACATGCAGGGTGTCAGTGGTCCCAGTCCTCCTGGGACAGCCCTGGTTTTCCCACTCAGAATCCCACGTCTTGATCCCAGACAAATTGGCGTGATCAGTCAATGTAGACATGACAAAGACACTTAATAATTTCAGCTGCAGCTACATGAGGACAAACGGGTCCAGTGATGTGCCAAGGGCGTGAGAAGCCTCGCGTCCCTCAATCTGCCTGCATCCCACGAGGCAGGGCCTCTTTGTGGGGCCGTGTCCTTGGAGGAGCCCGAAGCTCTGAGAGCGGAGGTCTGACGCCAGGTCACAGGCGAGGGAGGAGGCGGGGCCCGGGCTTGCTGTACCCGGACTCCAGGGTCCATGATCTCAGCTCTGGGCAGAAAGGAGGTCGGGCCACTGGCGGTCTCTCTTCTCGCATGCCGGGCCTGGCTGGACATGGCCGGGGCGCTGGCTGGTGCAGAGGAGCCGGAAGGGCCCATGGCCAGTGGGCAAGGCCAGCCCACAGTCCTGCAGTAGAATGCCATCTTCCGGCAGGCCCAGGTGGGCGGGAAGAGCTGGCTCACTGCCTCGTTTATTCCAGACGTTGCCGTGTCGTCCTCAGCGGCTCTGGTGACCGTAGCATGCCCTTGGGTTTTCGTGGCTCCGCCGTGAGTCTGAAAGCGGCGGGAAGCACGACACTCAGCCCCTGCCGCAGCCCCGAACTTGGTTGTGTGGTTCCCAGGTGCTTCTGGGCCACACGCAAGGCCCGAGTGGGGGAGCAGCCCTGGATTGAGGGACACGCAGGGATAATTAAGTCCCAGTGGAGCGACCTGTCAATTAAAGCAGCAGCCTGTGTTATTACACCGTCTGGTACCTGTCCTAATGGAAGTTTTATTAAGTGACAATGAAATTAGTATTAAAGAAGAGGGACTGTCTCCTGCTCGGCTTGGAGCCTCTGGGGCGAGACGAATGGTGTTTTTGGGCCCTGAAAAGGACGTAAAAGTAACCATTGGAGCGAAAATCAGTTTAGTGCTTTTATTTCTCACCGAGTGCCCAAACTTGAAAGAACCCAGGTGGGGGGTCTCAGTAAAGCTCGGAACGTCTCCTTCAGGAGGAAAACAATAGAGTTTTCCCTGATGGAGCCGATTTCGCCGAGCAGCCGTGTGGCGGAGTTCATTTATGGGCCCCTATTCCTGAATTAATTTCCAGGGCGGATGGCGCACCAGCGTGTCAGGCTGACGCTGTTTGTCATCTGTGCCGAGACGAGGCTGCTTCCGCCACCTGTCGCTGCAGCCCGGCGTCCGGGGACCCTTCCCAGCTCCCGCGCGGCCCAATTAGAAGGTTTTATGGATTCTGGATCGTTGGGCGCTGACAGCGCCTCCTCCCAGCTGTGCCATGAGAACAGAAGGGCGAGTTTGATGCGGACCACGATCGATGGTCCGTATCGGCCGTCTCCAGAAGCAACAGCACCGGGGAGCCGGGGGAGACCCGAGGGCACACGGCTCTGGGACCTGGTCCATTCCAGTTGTACAGGGTTAGAGGCACACAGAGCACCCCGTATGCATGGAACCGGCGGAAACGTCCGGTTCCGCCGCCCAGGACATTTGGGTGACTGTGGTCGGTGCACAGACGTCTGTGACTGAGAGAGCGCTCCAACCCAGCTATTTCAGAATTTTTCGTGTTTCAGAAAGGCTCACGAGGGACTCAGGAAGGTGCATGTGGCCGGGCAAGGTGCAATAATACATCAAGTACGGAAACGAGGGAGAGGAACCCAGGGTGGGGGTGATGTGGAGGCAGGGACGGGGCCCCCGGGAGCGAGCCTTGGCACCGGGGACAGCGCCAAAGCGGGCCAGTCCGAGAATGTACGGTGACCCATGACGTGCACCCACGGCCGTGGGTGAGCCGTCTCCCCGGGGACCCCGCCGGCAGCAGCATTCTCACCGTTACCTGCTACGCGAGCCTCGAGGCTGCTCGGCTAACGCTGCACTGTTGTTACAGGATTGCCATGAAGATGGCACACAGTGTCCCCCGCGCCCCACACCCGTTCCCCCTCTTATTCCCATCTTACAGGAGGAGGGCACACTTGTAACAATTCGTGAACCAATGACGTGCTGCTATTAATTAACTTAGGTCCATACTTGTTTTCTGGTTCACTAGTAGTGACTTAATGTCCTTCTCTGTCCCAGGCCCCCACCCAGGACCCCTCCTCACAGTGAGTCGTCTCGCCTCCTCAGGCCCCTCTGGGCTGGGACCGTCTCAGACTGCCCTTGTTCTGTTGGCCTT